TGGCGATACGGCTATTGGGCCAACTCCACCAATCAGGAGGAGACAGCCACGGCCATTGCCGTTCGAAAGCGCTGGAGACGCTGTAGTACATATGCCAGGCCAGTAGGTGGTGCTGTTCTCACTGAATCAGCCCTTGCTAAAACGGGTAAAAAAGTGCAAATTGAGCGAAATGAGGCATGGCTAAAATGCATGATCTGTTTGGTATTTTGAAAAAAAAAAAGTATAAATATGCCTTATATAGGTATGGTCCTACACTATATTATTCAAATATAGCATGATAGGTCCACTTTAAGTGAAAAAAAACTGTTTTTAATGTGCATTAATTCTTAATAATACTGCATGTGAACAGGGAGACCTTAATTAACCATTTAAAGCAAAGTAATTTAAGGGGATGTAAATGTTGCTGCAGAACAAGAATAACCAGGGTTACAAACATAAGAGAATATATAGAATAATGGTGCAAAGCAAGAAAAAGCTGTACATATTGTACTTGCAACTTGTAATTGGACATATGTCTTGTTAAAAAGTATTGGGTTGACTGCTTCGAGCAACCACAATCACAGCTTCTGTGTCTAAAAAGCACGAATAGAATCTGAGCTGACAGAAAATGCTCTGTTTTAGTTAAAAACACACAGTGGAGCTCACACACACTATTTAATGAACATAGAGGTTCACCTGCTGAATTAAAACCAGAACAAATGAAGCAAAGAAAGTGAATTAAAGCTGATCCAGGCAGTAGGCGTATCGATTCACACTTTAAAGGTCCCCTATTATACTCTTTTCCATCAATATATTACAGGTCTCAGATATATACAGAAAGAGAGGGGGTCTTTGTTCCTGAGACTTTTAGGCCCAATCCCAAACCACGCCCTACACACTACCCCTACACCCTACCCCTACACCCTACCCCTACACCCTACCCCTACACACTCCCCCTACACCCTACACACTCCCCCTACACCCTACACACTCACCCTACCCCTACACACTCCCCCTACACACTACCCCTACACACTCACCCTACACCCTACACACTACCCCTACACCCTACCCCTACACACTCCCCCTCCTTGACGGAGTGAACTCCGTGGAGAGCCACTCGCAGCTGAACGAGGCTCCTCCTGTCAGATGGAGGGAGTAAATACAGCGGCAAGCTTTGGGACGAACTCCCCTCTCTCCGGCAGAAACAGGAAATGCCGTAACTGTATGTAACAGCTTTCAAATCAGCATCTCTTTGACAAAAAATGTAAATTAATAACTGAAATAAAACTCCAAACATCTTTAATTGTGTTAAAAAATATGAGGTTATCATGAGGTTGCTAACATGGCAGTTTATCAGTGGATGTTTGCAGGAACTGTTTGTAAACAGCGTGTTTCCTGACGGACACACACAGCGTGACTCCGGTCAGGTAGAGACCGGTCTCAAGTCAGCACCGATGCAGACTCGCTGTTTGATGGCTTGATAGCCCACTCCCCCTCCACACCGCTCCACACTCGTTGGTTTGGAACAGCACTTAATGTGGCGGACCCTCCGTGCGAACGCGCAAACGGAGGTGTAGTGTGTAGGGGTAGGGGGTAGGGGGTAGGGGGTGGTTTGGGATTGGGCCTCAGAGTCTCTGAACACAGAGGGGACACATGATGTATAAAAGACATGAAAAAGAGGATTTTAGAGAAGAGATAACATCTGATTCTTTTACAACAAACACTATATGCTCTTTTTAGGTTTTTACTAACTTTGATATTCTGCTAATTATCCCCATATTTGAGAAAAGTGACAGTAATCTGATTTCTTCATGTGACTGTAATGGAATCCTGATGAAGTAATCCCGTTAAATGTAATCCATAAACCTGGTTACATCCTCCTCTCCTTCCAGCAGCTCTTTGTCTCGGTTATGAACTCTGCGTTTTCCCCGAGACAAACCGACAGATTCAATTTGGTTTTGGGCTAAACTGGCGGAGCGACTCGGTCTCTATTCCATTCATAAAACAACAAAGTGCTCCTCTTCCTCGCTCTCTATCATCTGTTTAGCTCATTCCTCTCTGTCACTTCCACACCCAGTGCCATTAATCACACACACAACTCTCAGTGTGTATCCACGCTGTGTAATTTCCCATGATGCTGTGGGGTAAACACTGGAGTCGTTCATCACTGAGAGGTGACACACACACACACACACACACACACACACACACACACACACACACACACACACACACACACACACACACACACACACACACACACACACACACACACACACACACACACACACACACACACACACACACACACACACACACACACACACACACACACACACCTCTGGAGGTCGCTGGTTTGATTCCCATTTGACAATCTGCTCATATGTTTTTTCGCTAAAGTTAAATAATGAAACACCTGCCAGATGTGGTTTGTTGTGACATACTTTTGGAGAAATGTTCCATCTGACTTTGTTGTATGCCAACTGGGAAAATATCAGACTCATATAATCTATAATACTAACTTTAAAACAACTACTACTTGTTCCAACAAAGCTAATACTTGCTATGACAAAGTCCAAACATTAACCATGCCTTTGTGCATCTAAAAATAGCATCAAAGTGATTTTTAAATTAGCTTTGTTATTATTAAAAGGAAGTAAGAAGTGTCTCTGGAGGGTTGTCACCAGCAGGGGAGTAGAAATGTTGAAAATAAAGCTTACAAAAAAAGGTCAGACAGCGATTTCCAGCAGCTGTGAATGAAAAATAAAGTCATCTCCAACACAAAAGTGGACATTAGCATCAAAGCTAATGGGTTGTTTTTCCGAGTCTAAAGTTAGTTTAAAGTATTTTTAGTGTAAAGGGAAGTTTCTGTTTGAGGCAAATTTGGCAGTGACATGTTCCAGCTTTGCACTTGTTTGTTAGTTATTGGTTAATACAGAGATTGGAGGAACCATTATGAAAAATACATTAAATAATAGCTGTCAGAAACTCATTAAAAAGCTTTTTTTTTTAAATCTTGAAACCATAAGGATTCATAATCAAAAAGACAAATTCACAATTATTTAAAGTCAGGAATTCAAGGTCCACTTATTTCTACTTAATAATACTAAATAATTCAGTATGAAACCTCCTTGAATTGTTCCTTAACCTGTTAAGCACCGAGCCTGTTTTTCATGTTTCAGGCTCGAAAATGACATTCCCAAAACAAATGACTACAACTTAACTTCTAAAAGGGTTATATGAATAATTTCTTTTCTCAAAGTAATGATAAACCTGTGAGTTGGATGTAGAAGTGTCAGAATCAATATAAATGTTTTTTATTTTAAAGAAAATTCAGATTTTACATAGTAAAAAAACTGTAAATTATAGTGTCCGTCCAAAAATTATTTTTTACAGATAGTGAAAACTACCCTTGGATGATGGGTTAGTAGACTAAAAGCTTTAGGAATCCAAAGTACAACATATAATAAGTACCCTGTATCAAGATTGATGCAAAACAAGTGAAATTTGACCTTTTTAGAGAGATTTAGCCAAAAACCCCCACTTCTGGGGTCATTTGGGTGGATTTGACATATCTCTGGCCCCCCTTGCTCGATTGGGATCGTTGACACACCTTTCTGACCGTTAGAGCCAATAGAATCGAAGGGGGAGGCCCACACACACACTCATTGTGAAGAGAAAAGGTGGGGGCTACGCGTCTAGAAATGAAACTATTTTTGCAGATTTTGTCCTTCTGGAGTTTGGAAATTAAAAAGCAGTTTTATTGCTTATGGATTATCAGAAATCATTTCAAAGAAGGCACAGATACATAGGATGAACCTATGGATTAACTGCAGTATCGTTTTTTTATCGTTTGAATGCCATTGAAGACCAGTTTTGACCAAGGTAAGCCATGTTAGCGTTTCTAGCTACCTAGCTCCACATGTTATGATGTACGCTTTCATTTATAGCGTCGCAAATGTTTATCACTGAGTGTTGAGGAGGGCACCGTTAGATTCAGTGTCTCAAGGACACCAAAAACGAGTGGTTGGCTGTGCATCTAGGATAAGTAATAAGGGAGTTATGAGTGAGTTTAAGTGCCGTTTCAGGTTAATTTTTTTCGCTCGTGGATAATTCAGAGGCTGAGTGCTAGCATTGTGGGGTTTATTTGGAAAAAAAAATTAAAAAGATCAGTTAGCTGAGTTTCTTCCCGTTACATGGATATAAAACATTCATAGTTTATTAAATATTAACATTCCTTAGACGTTGTTTCCTGCAAATAACGTGTTTTTCCGCCCGGTACCGGGCGGGCCGTGCGTAACAGGTTAAAGGTCACCTATCATGCTATTTGTAGGCAATAGCATAGGTCTCAGATATATACAAATATATAAAAAACATGTCTATGAAGTGTTTTGCTCAAAATACCAAACAGATCACCCATTCTAGCCATGCCTCATATCCCTCTATTTCACTTCCTGTTTCTAAAGTGCTGATTTGGGGTATAAAGCTTTAAAGAGGAGGGGTCTGAGCTCATGCGGGACCCGGCAGCTACCGTCTAAACTAAATGCTGCCGTGATGAAACGCCATATCATGGATTATCAAGGATTCTCTCTGAAACAGTATGGAGCTCAAAGGCTTTCTCTCTTGCCGGTTATACCACAAGGTGAGTTCCTTTTTATTTCCTGATTCTTCACACACATGCTCTCCAGTACAGGTTAGCTCTGAGTGTTAGCGATGCTAATGTAAACACCGACCATATTACGTCCAAAACAGTCGGGCATTGTTTCTGATAGCAACGTTTCTGATAGGGCCGTGGGTCCACATTTCAGATATTACGTCATATCGGACGCAAATCTGGATCAGCTCCGTTGTTCCCCGTTTTTAGAGATTTGGGTACGGAGGAAAAGAGAGGGGGTTTTATTTTCTGACGCTGCGTGAGTTCCCTGACACACCGGGGACACATCTTTATGTATAGAAGACATCAAAAAGTGCATTTTGCATGATAGGTCCCCTTTAATTGACTCAGACTGGATCACACACACAAGGTAAATACCATTTTAATATCTTCCAATCAGAAAACACAGGAAACCACAGCAGTGCATACAGGAAGTAGAATTAAACTCGTCTCTGCAACTTCCTGTTCCCGTCACATTTTGGTCCTTCTCATCATCATCATCATCATTATAATCATCATGAACAACATCTCCTCCAACATCTTAAAATCACATTTCAATTGTTTTATATAATATTTGTTTAACAGTGTTTTTTGTACATGTGTGCTTTATGTCTGACATATTCCCCGACAAAATGCACAATATATTTAGCGTAATAATCAAAAAATAATACTGATTAGCTTTTTCACATCATCAACAATCATCGTTACCGTTTTCAACCTTCATCGTCAGATCATCGTCCTGATCGTAAGACCAATCGTTTTAAATCACCATGACCGCAAGCACTGCTGCTGTTACCTTCGTCATCATCATCGTCATCACACACACTCACACACAGACACACACACCACTGGACACACAGTGTATAGAAGCAGGCAGGCCCATTAATTCATATATGGCTCAATTATTAACACCAAAGTCGAGTCTAAGAGGTTCAACGCACGAGACTTTTAAAAAAGTTCATGAGGATTTTATTCATTTCAATTCCTTTTTTCCTCTAAATACTCTGCAAAGATGCATCTGGACTTTGGAGTTGGACCCCGAGAGAAGTCTATTTTTTGTTGTACTGTTCATCGTTTCAAAGAATCCACAGTTAGTTCAGTCCAACGTTAGAATCCGTTCCACCTCAGATGTAGAAGGTGATGAAGATATCCAAACGTTTTCACCCTGCAGAGTCCATTTTACTCTTTCAACTTGAAGTGCTGTTGTGGCATCTATCGCACGGCAAAATCCCCATTTTCCATCTCGCCAAAGAATCCGTAGTATCATTTCTTCATTCGGGAAACAGCGTTGTCTTTTGAATTCTCCGTCAGAACGAGAATTCAAAGCCTCGAAAAGGTTCGTCAGGCTTTGCATTTCCAATATCAATCACTCGATACGACAAAATCCATTGCTCTTCAGAATCAGTTATCTTTTAAAACCCTGTCCTTCGTGTCCTACAAGCCGTGAAGTCCAGAGGATCGGCTTGAATCCTTTACCCTATGAACACTTTCATTTAAAACATCATCTGGATACAAAGACACTTAAACGGGATCTCAACTGTCTTGTCTTTCCTCCACTAACTTCTTTGACAACATGGAAGCTAGCCGTTGAGTATGTGTTCAGCAGCTTGAGGCCGATGTGCTTCGTCCAACATGGTTTTGTGCTTTTGTAGTTTTTATTTGGTCATCTCCAAAAGTTGCAGTCAGTCGGTATCTGTCAGTTCTGACTTTCTTCAGGTTTCCAAACTAAGATCCTTTGCTCATTCTCATCAATCTGTCATTTTTTAAAATCCATTTAGTCCCTCTTAGGACTTTCTGTCAGGTTTGACAAATTCACTAAAGTTCTTTGGCGGACAGATGTCCGACGGGTTGGGTTTGGGCAAACTTTTTAAAACTTTCCCTATTGGTTTTTAGTGCCTTGAACTCCCTTTCTTTTGTCTGAATTGCACATGTAAAATATATACTTTCTAGGGACATTAATTACGTTGTAAAATTGGGACTTTAGAGTCTAGAGAACAAACTGTTTTGGCCACATTTACATCATTCAGGGCTTTGTAAGTGCTAGAAAACATTTTAATGTCAGCAGAAATATGACGTTTGACGCTTTTCTGGAATTCAAATTTCACGAAATAATGAACACTTTCTTTGGCTGACAGATCTCAGACGGGTTGGGATTGGGCAAACTTTTTAAAACTTTCCCTATTGGTTTTTAGTGCCATGAACTTACTTTCTTTTGTCTGAATTGCACATGTAAAATAAATACTTTCTAGGGACATTAATTACTTTGTAAAATTGGGACTTTAGAGTCTAGAGAACAAACTGTTTTGACCACATTTACATCATTCATTTTCTGGACTATAAATGGACTGCAAAATGTACAATTTAAAAGAAATAGCAATTTCTGACACACAGCAGAAAGTAAACTGGAAATCCCACAAAAAAAGGATGGATTTCCAGTTTTTTTAGATCGAACTTCTAGCAGATTTCTAATTAATGTCAGGTTTGTTTTTCATTACACAGTTCCTACATCCCATTATCCCTTATATGTGAGAACCCTTGATTACTTATTTTAAATTTAACCTTTTTTAATTGCACCCCTAACACAACATCCCTGCTGCGTTCTCTGTGAGCTTTTATATTCAAAGAAGCAACAAAGCTGACCAAACCTGCTGATATTTTTCAAAATAGGGTGCTGAGAAAACCCCCAAAGCTGCTCTTTAAATGAAAGCTAAAGTAGTTTGGATGTTGCCGGGGAGTTAATGAGCCTAAATGAGTCCGCTGAGAGCTGCGATCAGAGGACACAGAGTCCATGTTGCGGTAATTACATCTTTGTTCAGTGATCGACATGCGGCTGACGGCTGCTGCTTAATCTGCCTTTTAATGTCCTTTGGGTTAATGTGGCGCACACTGGAAGGATCTCTACCGTCAGGTCTCTGGTTAGTGAGGAATCTGGATTAGAGCAAGCTAAATACAAGCTACATCTTTAGTTAACCAATTTAAAGGTCCCCTATTATACTGTTTTTCATCTCAGATATATACAAGTCATGTCTCTGATTGGCTGAAACACCAAACAGATCATTGCAGCATCCCATAATCCCCTCTGTTTCAGGCCTGTTTCCAAAGTGCTGATTCTCTGTCTGTTACTTTAGATGAAAATAAGGAGACACTTCATGTAAGTTTGCATTACATACTTCTAACCTTCATGTATGTCAAGATGGTTTGCGTTTTAAGTCAATAGGCAACAATACCAGCCATTGTTAACTACTGCTATCCAGTTTGGCCAATTTTCAAGAGTTTTCTTATCATATTTGTTGTGTAATGGCAATTTGGGGTTTTGCAGTCAAAGTTTGTTGTGCTAGGGTCTTTAAAATGGGTTATATCTCAGCGTAGGGTAAATATACTGCGCTGTTTGATTTGTAATATTAAAAGTCTGTTAAACTGTTTGTCAAATAGTCAGTTTAGTTTTAAATTCAGGACTTTCAGTTGTTAGTCTGACAGCACATTCCTCTCTCTTTGTCCCACTTAAGTCTTGGGGGGTTTTGAAGGCTAATTGCTAGCTAGCGATGACTGAATCAGTGACTGCTAACTAGCTAGCAGCTTTGAAAAATGACATCTGAAATAAAAGGTTTCTTTAAAACAACACCAGCTGAACAACCAGTCAAGTTGATGTCTGTTCGTCCAGTATTTCTATCCGACTGCCTCGTCTGTAAGCTAGCAGTGTGCTAACAGGAAGTTAGCAGTCGCTTCACTCTAGCAAGCTGGTGAAGCGTTAGCCGAGGGAAGAGTTGGGAGGTTTGGGCTGATTTCAGGACTATGTCAAAGTTGGTTCACCTAAAAAAAACAAACATCTAACTTCATCCATTGTTATCAACTATTCCAGTTTGGCCAGTTTTAAAGAGTTTTCTTATCGTATGTGTTGTGTATTGGCAATTTAGGGTCTTTCAAACGTGTTTATATTTAAACGTAGGGTATACATACTGCAATGTTTGATTTGTAATATTAAAAGTTTGTTAAACTGTTGGTTTTGGTTTAAATTCAGGACTTTGTTGTTGTTGTTAGTCTGACAGCAGATTCCTCTCTCTTTGTCCTTGGGGGATTTGAAGGCTAATTGCTAGCTAGCGATGACTGAATCAGTGACTGCTAACTAGCTAGCAGCTTTGAAAAATGACATCTGAAATAAAACCTTTGCAAACCAGTTTCTTAAAAACAGAACAGCCAGTCAAGTCCATGTCTCTCTTCGTCTCTTCGTCCAGTTTTTCTATCCGACTGCCTCGTCTGTAAGCTAGCAGTGTGCTAACAGGAAGCTAGCAGTCGCTTCACTCTAGCTAGCTGGTGAAGCGTTAGCCGAGGTTAGAGTTGGGAGATTTGCGAAGCCACTGGAAGAAATGCCGTCTGTGGAGGCGGTGCCAGCGGACGTTTCCCTCCACGATCTCCAGAGAACGAGGCATCGCAGGCCCCGCCCCCAGGTTATTGGCCTGGATGAAGTCCTTCAACTGAGGAGAGGAAGAGAGGAGAGGAAGAGAGGAGGAGAGGAGAGGAGGAGAGGATAGGAAGAGAGGAGAGGAGAGGAGGAGAGGAAGAGAGGAGAGGAAGAGAGGAGAGGAAGAGATGAGAGGAAGAGGAAGAGAGGATAGGAAGAGAGGAGAGGAGAGGAAGAGAGGAGAGGAAGAGAGGAGAGGAAGAGAGGAGAGGAGAGGAGGAGAGGGAGAGGAAGAGAGGATAGGAAGAGAGGAGAGGAGAGGAAGGAAGGAGAAGGAGATGACAGAAAAGTTATTAGAACACCAGAAAAAAAACACCTCTGAAAAGAAAGAGAGAAATAGTGAAGCTACCACGAGGCTAAACAAATCACTACAAACCGCATTATGATAGAGTTTGAGGAAACTAACAACAAACCATTGAATTAGGTTTTTAGCCTTTAAAGCAGGGGTCTCAAACTCAAGGCCCGGGGGCCAAATCCGGCCCGCGACTTCATTTCATGTGGCCCCGCAAGAGCTTGCAAAGAATATAATACGTTTATTATACGGTTACATGCCGCTTTACAGAAGCACGTTGCCCATAAACTACATGTCCCACAATGCATCTCGTTTTGTGAAGAGACTTGCAATTATTTGCCCTGGACTTCTGCTCTCAGACGTAGTTAATTACGAAGTTATATCCGATAATAATCCAATTCAGAGGCAATAATGTAATATAATACATTATTTTATATATATATATTATATATTTATATAGTTACAACCGGCCCTTTGAGTGCAACCATAATGCTAGTTTGACGCCCCTGCTTTAAACCCATAAGCATCGATGGGTAAAAGACCAACGCTTCTATATAAATACTTTTGTCTTTGCACCAACTCACCCAACATACTTTAGGCCATATATACTGTATATTATATCTTATTCTATCTGAGTGTTGCCACATTTTGAGACAGCTAGCAGTTCCAAAACGAATAGTTTCTTGATGTTTTATTAACTTTTCTTTAAATGGCAATTAAACAGAATCATTGCAGAAAGAAACTGCGAGCTATGAAAGCTGACCTGTGTTTTCAAAGAGAGGCTTAACTCTAAAGAGGAACTTTGTTTTAAAGGTTCATAATGAGAGTGGAGCTATCAAAGCGAGACTTGTTTAAAGGACGCTAATTGAAGGGAGAGTTTGTAAGAAGTGAAGTATTACAGAGATACTTCTTTTTGTCGTAGGAGGAGCGCTGAGCTCTTTAAGGACGAGAATGAATGTGATTTTCAAAGTAAAGAGGAGGAAACGTGTCCAGAGTTTGACGGATTCACTGGAGCACAGGAGGTTCATATCGTTAGCGCTGTACTTCTCCGCTCTTCATCTCTCTCTCCACTCCTTTATCTATCCCTTCTTTTACATTACATGTTACTTGTTAGACGCTTTTATCCAAAGCGACTTACATACTCAACACTGTGGACAATCCCCACAGGAGCACTTTGGGGTGAAGTGTCTCAGGGACACAACGACATACTGACTGCAGTGGGGTTTGAACCTGCTGTGCCCCCCTGATCCCAACACCAACGCACAACCCACTGCGCCACATGCTTCCTCTTCCTGCCACCTTCTCCTCTATAATACACTTTAAGTTTCTATTCGTTAGCCCTCTT